CCCTCGAAATGGCGACAGTTTCACATATCGCAGCCCCCCAGGGATGGCGAGGTCTAATTTGAGTCTGCGGTGGGTACCCACTGTGCTGGGCCCCTCAGCAGCCTACGAATGTGGCGACAGTTTCACCGATCGCAGCACCCCAGGGATGGCGAGAACTAATTTGAGTCTGCGGTGGGTACCCACTCTGCTTGGCCCCTCAGCAGCCCTCGAAAGTGGCGACAGGTTCACAGATCGCAGCCCCCCAGGGATGGCGAGGTCTAGTTTGAGTCTGCGGTGGGTACCCACTGTGCTGGGCCCCTCAGCAGCCCTTGAAAGTGGCGACAGTTTCACAGATCGCAGCCCCCCAGGGATGGCGAGGTCTAATCTAAGTCTGCGGTGAGTACCCACTGTGCTGGGCCCCTCAGCAGCCCTCGAAAGTGGCGACGGTTTCACAGATCGCAGCCCCCCGGGGATGGCGAGGTCGAATTTGAGTCTTCGGTGGGTACCCACTGTGCTGGGCCCCTCAGCAGCCCTCGAAAGTAGCGACAGTTTCACAGATCGCAGGCCCCAGCAGCCCTCGAAAGTGGCACAGGGATGACCAGGTAGGAGGCAGGCTGGCACGCAGCGACGAGCGAGGTAAAAGGCAGGGGGGAAGGAGGGAAGGAAGGAAGGAAGGTTCGCGCGAGCAGTGCTCTATTCAAAACGAGAACCCAACGCAGGAAGGTTGGGAAAAAAAGAGCGGCCAGCACGCTCTCATACGAGTGCCAGCTCCTTCCACTCCTGCGTCAAGAGGCCGCGGACGAGCCACACGTCCTCACCCGGTGCCCCTGGCGCATGTGTCACCCGGTCCGCTCGGACGGATCGGCGGGCTCTCGGGAGCTCCCCCAGTCCCTCCGACCCGGGCGACGGCGCTGGCGGCGCGGATGCGTGCTGCTTGGGAGACTGTCTCAGCGTTCGGCCGCAGATGTGCACGCGCCGTCTCGCGGAGGCCGAGGCACGCATGGCAGTGGTGCGCTCTGTCACGCGCGACGAGGGGAGAAGCCCACTGCCGGCGGTCTGGAAGGAGCCTGCCCTCGCATGTTGTCGCTCCAGCCGGCGGCGGAGGCCTCTCCTCTCCTGGGCCCTCGGGAGTGTCGGGCGGCCCGCAGCGGGCTGGAGCTCCTCAGGAGCGAGAAGCCGGCGGCGCTCGCGACTGGCCCGCACCTTGGCATCAAGACCCAGGGGACCGTCCAGCGCGGTATCACCCCTGTGATGTACCTCTCCGATGGCGCCCTCCTGCGCGATATCAGGGAACGGCTCGGCCGCTGGTTTTAACCTGGGGGAGGAAATGCTGCAGCGCGTGGACTCGGAGGGGCGTCGGGAGACGCTCAGCGCTTTCCCATCCCCCTTGTGGAGGATGGCGGCCATTCGCACTTGGACGGGCGGGTGGGTGTGCGACACCCGACTTCGCAACCCCTACACCCGATGCATCATGGGCTGTGATGCCCCAGACTCTCTCGCTCACTACGCGAGGTGCCCTGGATTCCTTTCCCCGGTGGCTCTGGCCAATGGCGCTCCGGTGCCGTCGTAATACCCCAACTGTTGGTCCTCTGCGCCTGTTTCCTCCAGCGGCTTCGGTTTGTCACACCCCCATCGCCTCCTCCACAGTAAACAGAGACGACTTGGAGGATGGGTACCCTCGGAGTCCGAGGCGGCGGATTTCGCCCGAGCTGCGCGTCTTGACGATGATTGCGAACGGAGCTTTCTTGGGAGCGCTCGGCCTTCTCCCCCTCCTCCTCCCTCCCCGCTCCTCACACATAAATCCCCCCTCCTCCCTCCCTCCTCCCCTGCCCTCCCTTTTCCTCCTTCCCCTCCTCCTTTGTCGCACCCCCGGACGTGTCGGCATTGCGCGCCGGGCGTGTCGGCAGGGGACTCTCCGACCGCTCGTGACCCCGAAGAGCTTGACGTGTGCGGCAGCTGCGCGGGCGGAGGGCGGATCCCGGCTCCGTGGGGCGAGGCCAGGGCGAGGAGGAGTCCCTTCCAGAGCCGCCTGCCGGGACGCTCTCGGGGCGTGCCGGAACGCTATGAGAAGGTTGCGGTGGTCAGTACATCCTCCAGGGCGGATGGGTCCGAGGGCTCCTGTAGAGGTGTTGTACGATGATGTTGATGTTGTTGTTGCTGGTGTTGTTGCTGTTGTTGTTGTTGGTGGTGGTGGTGTTGTTGTTGTTGCTGTTGCTGTTGTTGTTGTTGTTGTTGTTGTTGTTGTTGTTGTTGTTGTTGTTGTTGTTGTTGTTGTTGTTGTTGTTGTTGTTGTTGTTGTTGTTGTTGTTGTTGTTGTTGTTATTGTTGGTGATTTCATTGTGCTTGTTCTTATTGTTGTTGTTTAACTCTCACTACTGAAGAAGGAGTATTGTTAATAC